TCACTGTGCTACCTCACCCGTGCTATCTCACCGTGCTACCTCACCGTGCTACCTCACCATGCTACCCCCCCTGTGCTACCCCCCCAGTGCTACCTCACCGTGCTACCTCACCCGTGCTACCTCACCGTGCTACCTCACCGTGCTACCCCCCCAGTGCTATCTCACCGTGCTACCTCACCGTGCTACCTCACCGTGCTACCTCACCCGTGCTATCTCACCCATACTATCTCACTGTGCTACCTCACCCGTGCTACCTCACCGTGCTACCTCACCATGCTACCCCCCCAGTGCTATCTCACCGTGCTACCTCACCCGTGCTACCTCACCGTGCTACCTCACCGTGCTACCTCACCGTGCTATCTCACCTGTACTATCTCACTGTGCTACCTCACCCGTGCTATCTCACCGTGCTATCTCACCCGTGCTACCTCACTGTGCTACCCCCCCAGTGCTATCTCACCGTGCTATCTCACCGTGCTACCTCACCTGTGCTATCTCACCTGTACTATTTCACTGTGCTACCTCACCCGTGCTATCTCACTGTGCTACCTCACCTGTGCTACTTCACCTGTGCTATCTCACCTGTTCTATCTTACTATGCTATCTCACCTGTGCTATCTTACTGTGCGATCTTGTGTGAGATCTCACCTGTGCTATCTTACTATGCTATCTCACCTGTGCTACCTCACTGTGCTATCTCACCTGTGCTACCTCACTGTGCTATCTCACCTGTGCTACCTCACCTGTGCTACCTCACCTGTGCTATCTCACCTGTGCTATCTCACCTGTGCTATCTCACAGCACTAAAGGGGAGGGAAACTGCCCAAGCTGTGTACTGGGCTCCCCCATACACCAGGCATCCTTCTTGGTGTTTGATCCTCATCACAACCCCTGAAGCAGGTCCCTGGGATTATCATCTCCAATTCATGATAAGGAAATGAGGCACAGATATTTTATACAGTCACAGGTGTGCTGGGGGGGGGGGGGGCGGCAGGCAAGTCATGAGGGCGGGGTTTTCACCAGGCTGGCTCTGGGCATGGCTCTGGCCCCTGGCCACCTGCCCTCCCTACCATTTTCCAAGCCTTACTATCTAGCTTTCTTGGAGAGTCTATGAGCCACCCAATGTCCTCTCAAAATGTTTGTTTTCGATGTCAGTCAGCCAGGGTATGCTTCTGCTTGCAGACACCATGGGAACACTGCAGCCCGGGGTGACCTCCCACCGCCCAGGAAGCACGTATGTTGGTGTCCTCGCTCATCCCACATCTGTGGAAACCCAGTGAGTGAAGAGCATGGTGCTGGGGCAAAGGGAACAGCAGGCTGGATCAGCAGGGTCCCTGCCCTGGGAGAACTCCAGGAAGAGAGGGGGAAATACATGCAATGTACTTCTGAGACAAAGCAATGCTGGAACAAAGAAATAAACCAAAGTCACTTCCACAACAAAAGACCAAGAAATTAAAGGGTTGTATTGAGCTGGTTTTTAAGAACAAGCCTTTGAATAAGCAGGAAAGGGGGAGGCAGGGTCTCAGGAATGGCGAGAAATGAGACCTAATGGAGGACAGAGAAAGGCACAGTTGGTGAACAGGAGGTGGGCTCAGCCGGTGTAGAGGAGAGCGGGGGATGAGGGGGAGGTTTTGAATAGAGCACTGTTCTTTCATACATACACACATACAAACACACACACCGATATACGCACACGTGTAATATGCATGTAAGTATATGTGCATATATGTGTGTATATATATGAATGTAAATTTTATGCCCCTTCATCCTAGAAAGTACTTAAAAAGGAGTTAAGCTTCGTCTGACCACTGCCAGACCATCAGCGGTTCTCATGGAAGCACCTGCCGACCTTCCCTCCCAGAGGAGCTGGAGTCGGTCACCACTCAGAAGCCTCCGCAGCGAGTCCGCAGAGAAGTCCCCCAGCGAGGGAGGCTCGGGCTGGGTGCAGAGCACCCTCCTGATACCTGCGGACGGGCGTCATGAAGAAGCCACTGTGCCAGGCAGCACGGGGGCCCTCGGACACGTGGCTAAAGCTCGAGGAACAGGGCTCTGCTCCTTGTGCCCAGTGGGGCAGCTCGTCCACGAGTCGCTGACTCGGAACCAGAAGTCTCAGCACAGGGGTAAGTGCTGACCCAGCTGCACAGCCTGGTTCGAGTCCAGCCGAGGGTTTCCGTAGACTGCGGAACGTGGCCATTTCACCTGTGACTACAGGGTGTGCCCGAGAGCACAGCACACAGCTGTTCCCACGCAAGCCTCAAGCCACTCTGCCGTGGGCCCACGGGCGCAGGCTGCCGGGAGAGCACGGCCCTGTGTTGGTGTCCTTTGCAGGGAGTGAGACGTCTAAGCCAGGAACTTCGCAGCCAGTGACCAAGCTCTGAGCGTGTGTTTTGAGTCCATGTCATCAATAACTAGATCGGAGCTGGAGGGTTCTCTAAACATAAAACACACTTTTGCAGCTCGAAAAGCTAAAGGCTGGGGCTGGTTTGGATTAGGGAGACTGGAGACAGGAATCTTGCTGAAGTCCCCTCCCCTGGGCAGCTACTCACTGCCTAGCAGAGGCCAGACAGGGTATAGAGCCGCACTGACCCCGCAGCTTGGCTCGGGGACCAGTGAGTCTGGGTTCGGGCAGTGGGTACACCCACAGTGCTGCTGAGAATGACTTTAAATAGCACCTACCTCCGTGGCTCGAGCGACCTGCCTGTCTTTTAGGATTCTGCCTGGTGAGACTCGCAGCCGCAACTCTGCCGCCTGTGTGATCCGTGGCGGTGCTGGTCCCTGATGGTTTGCTGCCACCGAAAAGTACGATTATGCCTTTAAAGCTCAAGGTGCAATTAATTCTCTCTCTAAAATGTTACTAATGGCTCAAGCAACCTTGAAGCAGCTGTCATATTTTAAAAGATCGTTCTGAGTTGTTTTATGTCTGAAACTGCTCTGTAAAATCTTGTTAATGTTTCATCTTCAGTTGAGCGTGTGTCCCACACCGAGAGGACGGCTTTTCCTCCAGCCACAGTGCACAGAGCGTCTCTCTCCGGGCTGACGAGACCACACTGGGGACTCACCGCCACCACGTGAAGCTGAGCTCAGCCCCCTGAGGCTCGGGCTCTCAGGAATTTGCCCTCGAAGGGAGAGTCCACAGTGAAGACTAGCTCACGGGACAGGGCCCAGTCCAGAGCCCGGTAGGGTGGGTCAGGCGGACAACATTTTCTCCAGAAGGAGAGAGAAAAGGACAAATGTGTGGCCGCCACATGAGCGAGCGACCGGGTCCCCTCCTTGGCACTCCCGCTGGCTCTAGTTTCCATAAGGGGACCACGGACTAATGATCTCATTACCTGTTTGTTTCCCAGGTAAAGTGCAAACCTCTCAGGAGAGGCTGTGTCTGCTCCACCTGCGGCCCTCAGAACCGTCAGAGTAATTCATGAATGGAGGACTCCACTGAGCCTTGAGGCTGGCCACCAGGGAAACCAAGAAAACAGGACACTGGGTATCCAGCCACAAAGAACAGGCCCAAGAAGAATGCGGCAGAGACCTTGAGGAGGAGGTTCTTTAATCACTGCCCAACCTCTTTAAACAGCGACCTAGAACAATTCAGAAATGCAGTTTATTCTCGTGTTATTTCCCAATAACGACAAAGACAGCTCAGATGACTGAGCACTTTCTGTGAGCAACTGGGGTGCTAAGCCTGAAGCCACTGCATTTTATATCTGCACCATAACCCTCCGAGGGAGGTGGTCTCCTCATCCCGCAGGGAGGCGGAGGCTCGGGGGACAAAGCTACTTGCTCGGGATCCACAAGGGGAAGAGCAGGAGGTAAACCCAGAGCACTTCTCCTGAACACGGTGCTCTTGGACATGACACTGAATCTGGGCGGGTGATGGAAAGTGGCCCTTATATTTCTGATACCTCAAAGGTAGACGATAGAGCAGACTTATACTTTGAAGATGCCGTCGCTTTCTGAATTATTTTTCTGGAGGGATGGCTCTTTGGTTAAGAGCCTCCCAGGTGTGACAGAGCAAAGCAAAATCCTACTCAGTGATGGTGACGATGACAAGGGAGCATCGTTAACTTAGACGCCTTATTCACATCTTCTGTTCCGTGTTCACAACCGCCCCATGACATAGACACAATTATCATCCACACCCTATAGAAGAGGGAACTAAGGTCTCGAGAGAGGAATTGGTTCAGCCAAGCTCACAGCATCAGGAGGTGAAACCAGGGTCTAACCAGAGTCCATCGGATGCCAGACCCAGTCCTTGGCCAGGATAAGCCCAATTCCAATGGGCATATGGGAATTTGGGGAAAATAACTCTAGAATCTATGTGAAGACTGTATTTGAGCCTGAAAACAAGGAGCCCCAGTAAGGCCCCTGCTGCTTTGTACCCTAAGAAAGACCCCAACCAATTCCATTGCAACCCCAGGAGTTCCTGAACACTTAACTTCCATTACAAGGGATAGAGGAAGAAGAGAGAGAGATGACACCAGGGGCCACTAAAGGACCCCCTACAGGTCCAATCCAGCCACCTGCTCTTGTAGATAAATGTTCTCTCGGAACACAGCCATATCCACTGACGTACATGTTGTCTATGTTTCTGTATCAGAACAGCAGAGCCCAGCAGTTGCAATAGCGTGTGTCCCCACAAGGCCTGAGATACCTACTGTCTGGCCCTTTGCAGAACCCCTGTCAGAGAGCTTCCTGCAAACAGCACAGGGAACAGCAAGCCAGAGAGGGTCCAAGAAGAGCAGGCACTCACCACCTGTCCTGCTCGCGCTGACATACCCACACTCTAATTGTGTTTCTCACAGTGACACACTATCCCAGACCAGCCAGCCCTGCCCCCACCGCAGAGGGTCCAAGAAGAGCAGGCACTCACCACCTGTCCTGCTCGCGCTGACATACCCACACTCTAATTGTGTTTCTCACAGTGACACACTATCCCAGACCAGCCAGCCCTGCCCCCACCGCCTCCTGGCCGCCCCCCGCCGGAGCGCAGCCGCCTGGCCTACCTTTGTTGTACATGTTCGTTGGCACCTGGACGTCACTCAGACTGATGTTCACCGGCAAGTTATTGAAATGGTCGTTTGGGGCTAAGATGAATTCCTTCCCCAGCTCCAGAAAATTCCCGTCTTTGTCCCTCTCGTTTATCAGCACGGCATTGAAGTATTCATACTGAAAGAGAAAGTCGGGAAACATCACGGGGGGTTCAGGGCAGAGGGCTGGGGCTCAGACAGGGGGTCCGCTCTGGTCATGTGACCCCTTGTGGTCACTGTGTCATGGGTGGCAGCTGTCACACAGATGTCTCCCGGCGTCACTAAATATTCCGGGAGACGTGAAGTGAGGGAGCTGCACAGAACCTCTAAACCTGGGAATTTCTAAATCGTCGAAGACAGACCCTGTCCTCATGCAACCTACAGTTAAGTTGAAGGAGACTGGAAAGCACAGAAAAATAAGAAGTAAGTATAATATGCCAGACAGTCACACTTGCTATAGAAAAATAATACAGCGGGGCGGGGGGGGGAGTAGCAGGGGAAGGACTGAGTTTTTCTGTACAAGTCTCAGAGGAGGTCTCGCTGCTCCAGGGACACCAACACAAGCTGAAGGGAGGGGGAGTGAGCTGTGTGGGCAACGTCACAGACGGGGGGTCAGCGAGGGCAAAGGTCCTCAGAGGGGAGTGTGCGCACATGCTATACAAATGGCTGTCTCGGTATTATCATATCATCATCACCATCAATATCATCGTCATGGAACACACATAGAGAACGCTTACTTTGTGCCAGAAATTATTTTAAGTGCTTTTCAGGGGTTAACTCTCCTTTCATATGTTGATCTTTCTAACCATGCAATGAAAAAGATCTTAGGAGTATTCCCACTTCACAAATGAGGAAACTGAGGCAGGGAGATGCAGGGCCCTGGGCAGCGATCACTGCACGGCTGATGATCAAGCCCAGGGCGTCGTCTCCACAGGACGTGCTCTCGTCTGCAGGGCATGAGCGTGAGGGGGCGGGTGGCAGGTGTGGTTGGGACAAATCAGGTTGGGAATGTAAAACAAGTGTGATTAATATGCTCAGGACACTACTGGAAAAAGTAAAATGCAGGTAAGAACAAATGGATAATGATGGATATTCTAAGAAAGAATAAGAAGGAAATGCTAGAAACCAAAAACACTGTAACAGAAAGAAAGATTGCTTTTGCTGGCTCATCAGTAGACTGAACACAGCTGAGGATATAATCAATGAACCTAAAAATAGCTCAACAGAAACTTCCTGAAACTGAAAAACAAGAGGAAAAAATGGAGAAAAAAAAAAAGAAAAAGGGCATTCAAGAACTGTGGGACAATTACAAAAATGGTGTAACATGTATGTAATGGGGATACCAGAAGGGGAAGAGATAAAGAAATGGAAGAAGTATTTGACACAATAATGGCTGAAATTTTTCCAAAATTATGACAAGCACCAAACCACATTCCAAGGAGCTCAGAAAGCTCCAAGCACATGACTACGAAAAACCTACACCTCAGCATACATATTCAAACAGCAAAAACTCAAAGACTAAAAGAAATCTTTAAAGGAGCCGGGGGCTCTGCGGGTGTGGCTCAGTGGTTGAGCATCGACCCATGCACCAAGAGGTCACCGGTTCGATTCCTGGTCAGGGCACATGCCCAGGTTGTGGGCCCAATCCCCAGTGGGGGCATGCAGGAGGCGTCCAGTCGATGTCTCTCATCGCTGTTTCTCTCTCTCCCTCTCCCTTCCTCTCTCTCCCTCTCCCTTCCTCTCTCTAAAAAAATCAATAAAGAAAAAAAACATATTTGTAATAAAAAAAAACCAGGGGGTAGGTTGAAGCAGGAGGCACTTTTCCTATGGAGAAACAAGATAAGGATTACAGCAGACTTCTCTTCAGAAACCATGCAAGCAAGAAGAAAGTGAAGTAACATGCTTAAAGTATTCAAAGAAAAAGCCCACCAACCTAAATTATCCTTTAAAAGCAAAGGAGAAATAAAGACTCTTCAGACAAACAAAAATGGAAGGAATTTGTTGCAAGTAGACCTGCCTTGCAAAAAATTGTTAAAAATTCTTTAAAGAGAAGAAAAATGATATAGGTCAGAAACTACGATCTACATAAATAAGAATGTTATAGCAGGAATAAATAAAAGTAAAACAAAATATTTCATTTTCTTATTTTTATCTGACAAATAACAGTTTGATAAAAAATAATGTCAACAAATTATTGGATGATTATAGTTTATGGGGAAAAAGTTAAATTAACAACAGAGTTATAAGGGACAGGAGAGAGGAATTGAGAATACTCTGTTATAAGGATCCTGTGCTACCCATGAAGTGGTACAGGGTTAATTGAAAGTAGACTTGAATTAGTTGTAAATGTATATTGAAAACTATAAAGTGACTGTAAGACAATTTTACATGTTAAGAAAGGAGAGAAAATTAAGTTATATAATATGCTCAATTAAAACCAGAAAAGAAGTAGAAGACCATAAAGAGAAAGAAAGGAAGGAAGGAAGGAAGGAAGGAAGGAAGGAAGGAAGGAAGGAAGGAAGGAAGGAAGGAAGGAAGGAAGGAAGGAAGGAAGGAAAACAATGAAGAAAAGGAAAAAGACAAAGAATGAAGACAATAAATACAAAACAGTTACAAATATAGTACATGTTAATCCAAATATATCAATAATCACTTTAAATGTAAATGCTAACAATACACTAGTTAAAAGATAAAGACTGTCACAGAGGAAATTAAAAAAGAACAAGCTATATTTTGTCTACATAAAACCTACTTTAAAATCAAAGAATAGAGAGATTAAAAGTAAAGGGACAGCCCAGCTGGGTGGCTTGGTTGGTTGAGTGTCGTCCCATAAACCAAAAAGGTTGTGGGGTCAATTCCTGGTTGGGGTGCATATGGGAAGCAACTGATCATTTCTCTTCTCTCTCTCTCTCTCTCTCTCTCTTTCTCTCAATCAATCAATTAAAATATCCTTGGGTGAGGATTAAAAACAGTAAAGGGACAGAGAAAGCTATACCATTCTAACACTACATATAGAACTACATACCTAACAACTGCAGAGCACACATTATTTTCAGAATCATAAACGGAACCATCAAACAAGTCTCGATAAGTTTAAAATGACTGAAATCCACATAGTATTGTCTCTGATAACAATGGGCTAATTTTAGAAAATAATATATGATATTGATATAAAATATCAATGATATCTATGAAAAGATTATGTCTAGAAAAACCCTAAAGATTGGGAAATTAAACAACACAATACTTAATAATACATGTGTCAAGAAAGAAAATGGCTGCACCAGTCTGCATTCCCACCAGCAGTGTACTAGAGTCCCCTTTTCTCCACACCCTCGCCAACACTTGTTGGCGGCCATTCTGACAGGTGTGAGGTGGTATCTCATTGTTGTTTTAATTTGCATCTTCTGATGATTAGTGATGTTGAGCATTTCTTCATATGTCTTTTGGCCTTTTGTATGTCCTGTTTGGAGAGGTGTCTATTTAGTTCCACTGCCCATTTTTTAATTGGGAAAACAATATGGTGTTACCTCAAAAAATTAAAATTGAACTGCCATTTGACCCAGTGATCCCACTTCTAGGAATATACTCTAAGAAGCCTGAAACACCAATCAGAAAGAATATATGTACCCCCATGTTCGTAGCAGCACTATTTACAATAGTTAAGATCTGGAAACAGCCCAAGTGTCCATCAGTAGACGAATGGATAGAAAAGCTGTGGTACATATACACAATGGAGTACTATGCAGCTGTAAGAAAGAAAGATCTCTTATCCTTTGAGACTACATGGAGGGACCTGGAAAGTATCATCCTAAGCAAAACAAGCCAAACAGAGAAAGACAAGTATCATATGATCTCACTTATTTGTGGAATATAATTAACATAACAGTCTGAGGAATGGGTTAGTCCCAGAGACATGGAAGTGGGGTACAGATTGACAATCCCCAGAACAGGGGGTGGTGGGGGAGAGATAAACCACAGAACTTATATGCATGTATGCATGAAGAATGGACATGGACAACAAAGCTGGGGACAGGGTGGGAAGGAAGGGAGAGGGGGGAATCAGTGGGGGGAAAAGGAGAAACATCTGTAACAAAAATAAATAAATTTAAAAAAAGAAAGAAAATGACATGGAAAATTTGAAAATATTTTGAAATGAATGATAATGAATAAATATCAATATATATGAGATATAGCTAAAACAGAGTTTACAGAAAAATTTACAGAATTAAGAGCTTGTAGAAAAGAAGCAAATTTTAAGAGGAATAGGTTAAGATACTACCTTAAGATAAAAAGAACAAATGAAACTCAATGTTAAAAGAAGAATTAGAATAATAGAGATAAAAGCAGAAAGCAATAAAACAGAAAGCAAATACCATGAGGGGAAAATCAATGATATTAAAAGTTGGTTCTTTAAAAGAGTTAGTAAAATTATAAAACCTTAGCTAGAAGAATGAATAAAAAGAGAAAGCACAGAATATTAGCATTAGGAATGAAAGAGGAAACATTATTATATATCCTAGAGATAATGAAATGATAAGGGAATATTACAAACAACTTTATGCCAATATTTGATAACCTGAGTTAAATGTTAAATTCCTTGAAAAACAAATTAGCAAAACTGACTCAAAAAGATATGACTGGCCATATACATACAAAACAAACTGAGTTCATAATTAAGAGCCATGATAAAACAAATAACTCTAGGTTCAGATGCCTTAAATAATGAATTCTATCAAATATATGAGAAAAAAAATACAAATTATCTTATATATTTAAAGGAGAGAATATGTCTGAACATATTTAATGAAAGCAGCATAACCCTGATGCCAAAGTCAAACAAGAATATTTTTCAATTACACATCAATATCCCTCATTAACCTAGATGTAAAAATCTTAACAAAATATTGACTCAAATTCACTTATAATAAAAAAAATAATACACCATGACCCAGTTGTGGTTATCCCAGGAATTCAAGGTTGGTTTTACATTTGAAAATTCAATCAGCACAGTTTACCATATTAACAGAATAAAGAAAAAAAATCCTATGACAAATAAATGCAAAAAAAAAAAATCATTTGAAAGAATTCAACTTTGGTTTATCAAAAAACTCCCAGGAAATTAGAAATAGAATAAAA